CAAATTTACTATCTTAAGTAAAATATCTAGGAAAACTATCCTAATACCAGATTTTAAAACTCTTAATTTCTTTTTAAATTTAGCAGTTTTTAAAAATAATATCTACATTTAAACTTGTTTTCAAACTTGGGTTGTAGAGTAGGTATTTTATAGTTCTATTTTTCATAATCTGCTTTTGTCAATATGCCAATTTTTTTTACCCCTTGAAGTCTTGGGATTTTGGGCTTGAAATTATATATATCATTGAATTTTTATGTATATATCTAAGCAACTTCTGGTCAGCTCAAATATTTCCAGTATCCTTGCTTCTTTTCCGAGTCAATACCTACTTCTCAGACATAGCCACTACCATCACTTAAGTTTTGCCATAAATAAGTTTTCTCTATTTTGAACTTATGTATAAACTCATAATATGGTATGTACAAAATCTTGTGTTTGGCTTCTTTTGCTCAATATTATGTCTGTCTGATTTGCCCATATTTTTATGTGTAGTCATAGTTTGTTCTTTTTTATTACTATGAAGTATTTCATTGTTCAACTATTTTTTTTATCTGCTGCAGTTTTGGGCTATTAATAAACCTACTGTGAACATTCCTGTATACGTCTTTCTGGGGAAGCATGAACTCATTTCTCTAGGGCATATATTCAGAACTGCTGGGTCATCAGGAAAACATGTTTAGTTTTAGTGGATACTGCCAAACGATTTTTCCAAAATGGTTTTTCCACTCTGCGGTTTAAAGTAGTGATGTATGAGTTTCAAGTACTTTATCCCTACTACACTTTGTGTCATTCTTTTTAAATTTGTCTTTTTGATGGGTGTGTAATGGTATTGAATTTCATGGTGGTTTTAATTTACATTTCCCTACTGACTATGCTGTTGACCACCCTCTGGGCCAAATTTGGCCCATGGGTTGAAAGATGCTGATCCATGCTCTTGCCTAGCCTTATTGGCCACTCTTTTAATCTCCTTTCCTGATTCTTCCTGTCTCCCTTCCTTTGAATGTTGGTGCCCTAGGACTTAGTTGCCTTATTTGTCTACATTATTCCCTTAGAGATCCAGTGGAGTCTTCTTATCTCCAAAGTGACAACATCCAAATTTTTATCTTCTGTCAGTGTCTCCCCTCTCTGAATTTCTGACTCAAATATTGTTTATTAAAAATTACTCCCTTTTCATCTCTCCTGTTTTTGTCTTCTCAGAGACTTCCTTATTTCAGTAAGTGGCAACTCCATTCTTCTGCTTGCTCAAGCCAAAAAGCTTGAAGTTATCTTTGACTATTGCTTTTCACTTAAAACTCACATTCAATCTGTATGTAAATCCTACTGGTTATATCTTAACAATGTGTCTTGAGCTTAACTACTTGCACTGTTTCCAATGTTAACTCAAGCTACCATCACCTTGCATCTGGAATATCGCAGCAGCCTCCTAACTAGTCTTATAGTAACCACAGTGGTGCCTCTAGTCCATTTAAAAATTATAGTACAGTCTCTTGGTGCAGCGATATTTTTGCTTCATAGTTTTTGTTTTGGAATAGTTTCCCCCTAGATATCTGTATGGCTAACTCTCTAATCCTTTATATTCTCAAAAAGATCTGAAGTTTGAGAGGTCTTCCCTGACCACTCAAAGTCCTACTTCTACCTTGCACCTCCTATTTCCCTGTTTTGTCTTCATAGCATTTAACACATCTATTATCTTATGCTTTATCTGTTGGTTTATTTCCATTAGAATGTAAGTTCCATTAGGGCAGGGATAATTTATTTCTCAACATCTAGAAAAATGCCTCGTACATGATAAGCACTCAGTAAATATATGAATGAATGAATGAATGCATGGATGAGTGCTGGAAAGAACACAGGACTTGAAGTTAAACTGATTGGATTAAAATCCCAGATTTCTTATTAGCAGTGTGAATTTCAACAATTTACTTCAACAGTCTCTGAAACTCATTTTCTGTAAAAGAGGAATATACACCTCATGGCCCTGGCCTATGAATTAAATGTAACATTTATGAAATGCTTGCCATATATTAGGCATTCAAGTGGTAATCTGTCCATCTCTGTCCTGCGCCTAAGAAACCATAATAGTTATTTATAGTATCATCAGTTTATTTTTGAGCAATACTTCTTTTTTGAAAAGAGAAAGTTGCGAACATGTAAGTTTGAAGTCACAATGTGTTTTTTTTCCTAAAGCAATTTGGAAAAAATAATTTATGAAATAAATTTCAATACATTGATACTGTAATACACAATAGAGAAGTGTTAATATATCGATACTGTAATAACACAATAGGGAAAAATAAATGTATTTTAAAATGAATTATGAAATTACAGTATGCATAATATGACTTTTAATTCTTTTCTCAGACAGCAAAAAATATTTCAAGTGTGTTTAACATAACTGAGTTAAAAAAAAAAAGAACCCAAACAATTAAGACAGGAAATAATAAAAGTGAAATATAATGAAATAAAAATTTTAAAATGTAGTTGGCCGACAAACTCAAAAGCTGATTCTTTGAAAAATATTAAGAAAATGGATAAATCTCTGTCTAGAATATAAAGATTAAAAGAGAATATATAAAAATAAAAAATAACTCACATTTGTAACCCTATGACATTAGACATAGGTCTGTAAACTATAGCTTGGTGGGCAAAATCCAGGCAATACCTGTTTTTATAAATAAAGTTCTGCTGTACCTGGCTGCATTCATTCACTAATGTACTGTCTATAACTGCTTTTGTGCTACAACAGCAGAGTTAAGAAACTGTGACACAGACCACATGTCCTGCAAAGTCTAAAATATTTATTATCTGGAACTTAAAAAAAAAATGTTTGCTGACCTCTTAACTACAGGAAACCCAGAATGCAAGTTCTTTTTAAAAAACTGATTCTATTTCCCAGGGAAATAAGAGGCATGGCCACCATTTTAAGAGTGAGTTGGGGAGGTCTCAGAAGTCTGAGGAAAGAGGAGTGTAAAACAGTTATCTGATAAAAAGATTACTGAATATATCAGAGAAATGTAATAAATGTATCAGAGAAATGTAATGAGATTGCCAAAGAGCACTAAACATACCACTTAAAGATAGTGGCAAGATGGGACAAGTAAGCATGTTTCTCTTTGAAAGATACTTACATCCCCCAAATAGACTATTTTTGTTCCTAAGTTGGTTCTAAAGATATAGGAACATTTTCTAATTTGGATTAATTAAAAATTATATACCAACTAATTTTAAAAAAGGTTTACTACTTTCAAGTGCATAGAATTAAAACCTGGTGGAAAACATTCGTATCTGTGGTTCAGGGAAGTCTCTAAGGGAGACTTACTTTAAGTCCTCTTCTTGTTTGAAGAAGAGAAGAAAAATGATTTATACTGAATTACATGTTATAAAAGAATGGATATTCCAGAAGCAATAAATGCCTCCTTTCCTACAATAAAGCACTGTAATCAGGTGAAATAATCAGAGTAGGAAGAGACTTATGCTCTAGATAAAATAACCAATTTTAAGTTATGAGAAAAATAATATTCATTCTCTATTGATACTTTGCCCATAGAACTAATTTCACTAATCACAACAATGCTGCTACAGTTGTTATTCTCAGTCTGTAATCTAAAAATCACACTGTATTTGTCAAGGAAAGAAAAAAGTCACCATTTATGGAATTCTGTGACAAATTCTTTTGGAAAGCAAATATTTTATAAATTCATATCTTCACAGTTTGTCCTAATATTTGCAAGATGTTTTGATTTTGTCAGAAGAAAAAAAACAGTGACCTATCCAGCCAACAGAAGAAACATCATTATCTTAAAGATGAACTGAGGTGAAAAAGACCATCAATAAATAGATAATCTGATAGTATGTCTGTAATTTTCCAAGAGTGCTTTTTATTTTTTTTAAAGGAAGCTAAAACTAAGATTTATTCAATAATTTCTATTTACCCAAGCACTGTGCTGGGAGTGAAACACCATGTGTTAAAAGAAGTTCCTTTAGAACTTCTAAGACTCATTTAAATGAGGAAATACCAGAAAAAAAATACGTTGCTACTTTGCAGTTAGGTTAAAATGTCAGGCACCAATTCATAGTGTGATTACTTTCCAATGATAGCTGGTTGAGCATATTCTCAGGAAAAGAACGATTCAAATCTTGTTGTTTTGGTATAAGCAAGAGCAGAAACTGCTACTAATTATAGCTCCTTGTAATGTTCTTCCTTTCCACAATTCTTTATCTTTGGTTTGTTTATTTCTCAAACAAGTGCAGATCAACTGCATCTGTTTAAGTATGGCACTAAGTCAGGCAAGATTTAAATCCTATACTCCCTGTGTAATTGGGCCTGCCTTTTTATTAACTTCACTTTAAAAATCTGAATATCATCAGTTTGATTTTGTAAATCTTACTTTTTTTAGATATGATAAACAAGATGTCAAATGTCATTCACTTTTATAACATTCCTAAGAATGTTATATAGTATGTATGTTCCTCAAAGTAATTTACATAAAAGATTCTAATGTACTTTGTACTTTCAACACTAGTGTCTAATTTTTTGCTGTTCTAATTTGTATTTAAAATACTTTTCCTAAGGATTTAATCCACAATTTAAAACTTTAACATTTTACCTTTATCCTTTGTATTCTCTTAGATACTTTCAAAATTAATAATTTCCCCATAATGTAACAAAAAATCCAATAAGTCTTTATTATATAATAACGAAGGGGAAAACAAGGAATAAAAGGAAGCTCTTAATTTGTGAACACTTTACTAATTCTGTAAGACACTATGACAAATAAGCACACTTTTTAAAATGTCAAAGATATTAGATATAACTTTAATTTTGAATGTGATTTACATATGATCAAACCAAAGAATTACTTATAATTTACTGCCTGATCAAAATGAACATAAAACATAACAAACTGTATTTGTAAGTCAGAGTAGCAAACCACTTTTTAAAAAAAAATTACATTACATTGTCAAAATGTTTCCTATGGAATACTGGCAAAGAATGTAAGGTTATATTGTGCCAAATAGTTAAAAGCAATGATTTTTGGATGGTTCAAATAAGATGTATATATATATAACTTAAAACAAATATTTGGATTATTTTCTCTGGAAAGTTATCTTGCAAATGAAAAGAAGAAAACCGAATCCGCATACTGTAATAGCTGTCCTCTTCAAAATTCTACTATTCCATGTAGATACTTCTTCCCTTAATGGTATATGAGTTGGATCATTTTCCCGTTCATTTTGCAACTAATATTTAGTATGGAAAAAGAAAAGAGTTACTGCATAATACATTGATAATAAAAACATTTTGATTTTAAAAATATCATAATATCCATGTTAATTCAATTCACTTGATTTAGAAGTAGGCAACTCAAGATTCCCTTGGAAGATTTAAATATATATAATATATATTTAAATATACATACATATACATATATATCTTGAAAGACAGTCTTTCACTAGAATCCCATCACTGTAAATTATTAGTTTTACATTAAAAATATATGCTTTCATAGATGATCACATTTTAAAATGGTGTTTTTATGTTATGAGATAAAGCAACTTTAATGTTAAAGTTTTTGTTTCAGCCGGGCCTGGTGGCTCATGCCTGTAATCCCAGCACTTTGGGAGGCTTAGGGGGGTAGATCACAAGGTCTGGAGTTCAAGATCAGCCTGGCCAAAATGGTGAAACCCCATCACTGCTAAAAATTACAAAAATTAGCCAGGCTCCCTCCCTAATTCCATGTGTTCTCATTGTTCAACACCCACCTGTGAGTGAGAACATGTGGTGTTTGATTTTCTGTTCTTGTGTCAGTTTGCTGAGAATGATGGTTTCCAGGTTCAGGGGGAAACAGGGGAGGGACAGCAGGGGGTGGGGAGTTGGGGAGAGATAGCATGGGGAGAAATGCCAGATATAGGTGAAGGGGAGGAAGGCAGCAAATCACACTGCCATGTGTGTACCTATGCAACAATCTTACATGTTCCTCACATGTACCCCAAAACCTAAAATGCAATAAAAAAATAAAATAAAATAAAAATTAGCCAGACATGGTGGCGCGGGCCTATAGTCCCAGCTACTCAGGAGGCTGAGGCAGAAGAATTGCTTGAACCCAGGAGGCGGAAGTTGCAGTGAGTTGAGATCGCGTCACTGCACTCCAGCCTGGATGACAAAGTGAGACTCTGTCTCAAAAAAAAAAGTTTGTTTTACCTGTAAGGAATGACAATTGATATTGATGTGCTTGTCCATTAACATCTTACAAAAAAGTGAACCATAATTATAGCAAACATACACCAGATGAAATTTAGCAAAAAGGAGAAGATCAGATGCTACTGGTAGAAACTTAATAAATATAATTGCAGTAACAAATGTCGACAAAAACTTAAGTGGTTCTTTTAGTACTTCTCAGCAATGAAAGTATAGTATCCAGTTTCTAAATTGCCAGATACAAATTTCTTGCTAAAGAAGCTCCTTTCTCCCCTACCTATGTGTGTGTGTGTGTGTGTGGTGGTGGTGGTGGGGGGGGGAGGTGGGGAGGGAGGAAGTGAGAGAGAGAAAAGACTTAAAGAGGGAGGGCTGAGAGGAGAGGGATGGCTGTTGGGGGTGGGGCAGGAGAGAGAATAAGCAGAAACCAAAGATCCTTGAAAGATAAAAAGAATCAGGCACATTTATAGAGTGATATTTACTAGAAACATCCTGTGCTGGAGTGGTGACATAAATATTTTCAACATTAGCAGGAATAATGACTTCCAAATTCTACAGTGTAAATATTTAATTAAAAAGCTTGCAAAATTAATTTTAAATTTATAGCAGAAAACCAGACTCCAACGCCAATCTCATTAATACCATATTCTTGGTCTAACTTCCAAATGGCTTCATTCAGCAACAGATTCCATTTTGACACTGATGCTCCATTTACTGAATCCTGAGACAGTCATTCCTTTTATTAACCAATTACTTAGAATGACCCTTTCTGACAGGAGCCTGTCAGTGTGCTGGCTTGAAAGAGAGTGATGTGGTGTTAAAGTCTAGCCTTGACCTCTCCCACCCTCTCTCTTTGTTACCTCCATACACTTATCTGTGATAACTCATGTTTTCTTTTAAAAAAGATCCCCTTCAATTATTTGGTAAACCTCTGAAGTAATATAAGCTTAACAGGCATGATAGCATATTTCCAAATCTGGACGCCTTCATAATTCTCTAAATCAAATCTCATTATGATGATTCCTACTTGTATAAGACTAATCTGGAAAAACCCACTCACTAGCTTGCTCCAAAATTAAGACTTTCTTGCCCAAAGAACTATATTTGTCATTATTATAAACTAACAAATGTTTTCAAAGGTAGTTCTTATACAGAAATGCACAAATTTTAAATAGAGAAGGGTCACAGGAAAAAGATCTTCTATTCAGCTAAAGAACAATGAAAATCCTCTTAACACGTATGCATTATTAAAATAAATATTGTGGTACTTGATTGAATTGTTTATGCTTTAGAGTCAGTCAGTCCCTATAGCAAAGTTTCTTAATTTCACTCATTTAACAAAAATGTTTTTCTAATTTCATTTTAATCCTATACACACACCCTTACCCCTCACTCCCATGTTTTTAGTTTATCTTAGAGAAACCAAACTAGTAAACAACCCTGAAGAAAATATGTTTTAGGAAATTTCCTATACTAAAGGTTGACGTTTTGCAAGAAGTATCTTTATACATATGCTTCCAAACTTCCCTGGGATCCCCATGAAAAAACAGCATTTTTAAGTCAAATCAGTTCCTTTCCTTTGATTCTTCTAGATGAGATGGAGGTAGTGATGATGAATGGTGCTGTACTTTTTGGGCTGTCAGCAAGTTCAAGATGTAGCTTGTGTAGCACAGGTGCCTGACATATAGCAGGCAGTCTTATATTTGTTGAAAGAATAAATGTCAGAGAAAATACAATTTCTAAGATGCCCCTTTCTTTGGAAAGAAATGATTTTCTACAAGACTTCTGAAACAGTACTCATTTCCTCATTTAAAATGTCCTTTCCCAGCTATTATTTTGTATAATAGAATTTGCTTCACAACTTTCTTCTCACTTTAAAAGACTCCTTTTGGGGCAGGTGTGATGACACACACCTGTAATCTCAGCACATTGGAAGGCTGAAGCGGGTGGATCACTTGAGGTCAGGAGTTCAAAGCCAGCCTAGTCAACATGGTGAAACCTCATCTCTACTAAAAACACAAAAATTAGCTGGGTGTGGTGGTACATGACGGTAGTCCCAGCTACTCAAAAGTCTGAGGCAGGAGAATTGCTTGAATCCTGGAGGCAAAGGTTGCAGTGAGCCAAGATCGTGCCACTGCACTCCAGCCTGGGCAATGGAGCGAGACTCGGTATCAAAAAAGAAAAAAAGATTCCTTTTGATTTAACCTATTAATAGCTAGAATGACAAATTATGAACACTTGGAACATGTATAAAGTCTATTTTGAAGAAAAGAACTTTTTTGATAAAATATTAATGAAAATATTAGATGAATTATGGGTTGAAGCTATATAAATAATGTAGTATAATCTAACCTTCAAATGAAATGTTTCACAAAAGCCTTATAGACATCAAATTTATTTATTAAACAGATAAAGAGCTCAGAAGTGAGGTTCCTATTCCAACAGCTTAGGTTTTATTATAGCCAATTTTCTTAAAGTGAAAAAAATCACCTGTCCTTAAATACAGATATATACTTTTATAAGTATAAAAAACCAGAACCAAAAAAGTCCATACTCTTTAGAAAACAGTTAAATTATAAAAATATTACAGAGAGTCTGGAAAATTAAAGAAGTATTTCATCCACAATCCTGTCTCTTTAACAGAACCAATAAATACTTCATTTTAATATTATTTTATCTGTACATTTACATATAAGTAATAATGTACAAATATAATTTCATATCTTTAACCAGCTGGTATTTAATTTTCATTATTTTTTCAACTGCATATTATTATAACAATAGGTATAGCATGATTTATTAAGTTATTCTCCTAGTATAGAGAATACTATGGCACATATAATTTGGGATAAAATACTATCAAAATATACAATTTTTTTATGGTAGTTGGCACATCTTGCCAAACTGTTTTTGAAAGGGCTTGTGTTACCAGACTCACATAAGAATATAAGTTTGGTGACCTCTGACTAGAAATTGGTAGTAATACATTTTTCTCTGCTAATTGAAAACATATAAAAATGACATATTCTTCTTTTAGTATGCATTTCTTTAATGACTAACAAAGTCTGTTTCCTATGTATATTTCTTCCTTTGGAAACTGTCTTTCTCCCACTTGAAGTGTTCCATTTGTTGCCCTTACCAGAATTGCTTCATTGTCTGACACCTTTTGCTGTAAATCATTTCCCTTAGTTTTCCCCCTGCTTTTAATGTTAAATATATACCTTCTGAATTAAGTCTTTCAGGTTGCAGACCTCTTCACTCAAATCTTCAACATTTTTAACCAGTTCTTCACAAACTGAAGTAAAATTCTGGGGAGAAGCCCATTCCAGTGCTATCTGTTAATATTTTCAAAAATCCCACATTAAAGAATGGAAGCAACTTTTCACAACTTTATATCCACAAAGATTATACAACACTCTTAAATATTAAATTATATAATTGAAAAGCATTTTTTGTTTAGGATATTGACACCAAAAATAAGTAATTTTATAAAATAATCAAATGAGCTTGCCAAATGCATTTCCTGAATATATGTATATATAACTTTCTATATGAAGATTAATATTAGTAATATTTATGATGAACAAATCAGTTCATGAAGGTTTTAAAATTGACATGATTCCCATATTAATTAATGTTATATAAAAATCACTGGAAAACAAGTGCCTTTAAAAATTCTCACTAAAACAGCTAAAACCTAATCACATGAAGTAAGTTGCTTTTGCAGGCCACTTACACTTTTTCTTCCTTTTTTTTGAGACAGTGTCTCATTCCGTCGGCCAGGCTGGAGTGCAGTGGTACAATCGTGGCTCACTGCTGCCTCAACCTCTTGGGCTCAAATGATCCTCCCACTTCAGTCTCCTGAGTAGCCAGGACCACAGGTGCATACCATCATGCCCAGCTAATTTTCAGCTAGGACCAGAGGCACATGCCATCATTCGCAGCTAATTTAAAAACTCTTTGTAGAGACAGGGTCTCACCATGTTGCCAAGGCTGGTCTCAAACTCATGGCCTCAAGCGATTCTTCCACCTGGGTCTCCCAAAGTTTTGGGATTACAAATGTGAGCCACATTTACGCTCTTCCTATTCTAAATTTCCTTTATTAAAAAATCTTTTATTGATATAGTTTTTAAATAACACACAGTGTTGTTTCCATTTTCACTTGGGTCTCCTGTCACTTTACATTTTAAACAGTTAAATCCTCTTTAAGAACACATGGTAAGTTCGATACATGGATCAGTTTAATTTTTGGTCTGACTCATTTTATTTTTCTTGAGGGCAAGAATACAAAATTTTAAGATTAGTATGTAAAGGAGTAATATTAAACAAATTGACCTACTTAGATCTTATGTGATTTTGTAGAACAAATGATATAATTTTACCAAATCAGTACTAATTATTGAATTATGAACTTATCTGGAATGTTCTTCAGTGTTCATACTTTTCTTCACTTAATAACTTTTGTAGAATACCTTTTGAGAATTTACAGGTAACTCAGTAATAATATTCTGTACAGCTGTTATTAAATGGCCACACTGTTTGTTTAATTTGAGAAGAAAGTTCAGGAACTCATCACCACTGAAGAAAGGAAACAAACAAACAAATCAAACAAACAGGAATCACTAATAAGAGTAATTTATTTCATTTTACTAGGCTAGTTACTGAATATCTAGTCATAAGATTAGATTCTTCCAAAAGAATTCATTGAATAGCTAATACAGATTAGGTACCGAAACAGGCACTGGTTGTAAATGAAAAACAAACCTCTAGTCCTGAGGATCTTGAAGTTCAGGATAAGATGCAGATATACAATTACAGCTTTATTATTCATGGGGACACATGAATAATAAAGTGACATGAATAATAATGAAGATAAAATAATAATGAATAATAATGAAGATAAAAGAATCAATATTTGAGTAGCTACTATGTGTAGACACTGAACTAGTTATTTTACATTTATTATTTCTTTTGATTCTTCCTAACAACCCCTATAGGATAGATGTTGTTAATACTATTTTATAGTTGAGACATCTACAACTCAGGGGGAATGAATTTAATATCACATGAGAAGGAGGGAGTAGGGAATTAGAAATGCTTACAGAGATAATACTTGAATTGAGTCAGTGGCTAAAAAATAAGTTTGCCAAGAGGTAAGGAAGAGATTCTGGATAAAGAGAATAGCAAGTGCAGGAGTACAGGGGTAAAGGTCACTAAGGTGTAATTAAAATACAAATTATAGAAAAGTAGTAAAAGACTGGATATAATCATTTATTAAAAGAAATTTGTGTCAGCATAAGAAATTGAATTTTATCTTTTTGATGATGTAGAGTTACTAAGAGATTTTCAATAGGAAATTTGAAAATTCGATTTTTAAATGAGAATGTTTATTTGGGGAGTGATGTGGATAAAAGGAACACAAAAATGGAAGCAGAGTAATTAGGTGACCAACAGATACATATATCCAAGAGATGATGAAGGAAAGCTTAAACTAAGTATCTGGCAGTGGCAGTCTTACTGTGGGGAGGAGGTAGAGCAGTGGCTTGAGAAACCTTTAGGAGAATAAAGTGAAAAACCTGGTGATGGATTGCAGGTAAAGGAAGAATCTACGATGATTCTCAGTTTTTTGGTTTCCATGGAAGGTGGTGCTGGCAAGCAAGGAATTGAATTTGGTGGTGGATGGTGGAGAAAACAGTGGGCTGGGATAAAATAAAACCTTATGGCATGATAATTAAGAACACAGGCTCTTGAGTCAAAAGTCAATGTGAGTTTGGATTCAGCTTCCACACTTACTAGCTTTATGACTTGGGGCAAGACTAATCTTAAGCTAAATGTTTCCAAATCTCTAGAATGGAGACAGCAGGATTGAAGAAGGCAATGTACATAAAGTACCTAGGATTGTGCCTAGCACATGGCTAGTGTTCAAGCAAACATAATTATAATGACTGCAGTGGTGAGGAGACATGTGGATGGCAACAACCAGTAGATGGTAGAAAATGAAGGTCTTGCAAGGGTGTTTATTCTGGGCTCTAAAGGCTTATGAAGATAGATACAATTCAGACTTGGTGAACCTCAAAGGGGAAAAAATGTCTTTATTTTCACTAACCTAGAACCAAGATTCAGTCTTTCCTTGACTTGTGAAGGTAGCACAAACACAGTAGTATTAGCAATGTCTCCAATAGAAATCAAAACTATGATCACAAAGAAGACCACATTGTGTATTGTGAAGGGAGGGTTGAGAGTGGTGGCAGAAAAAACTCACTAAAGGAAACGTAGCCTGAGAAGTAGAAGAAAATCAGGACCTAATTAAGTGCTGTTATGGATGGCAATGAAGGGGACAGATTCAAAGGAGAAAAGATTAAGCACAATAAATAAGTATATTGATTTTGGCAATGAGAAATCACTGGTGACTAGATTAGCTGTAGTGACAGAAGCCAATTTACAGTAGAAACAACAAAGAAACTTAACCCAACAGAAAAGTTGGTCAAGATTATTAACAGGGAATTCAGAGGAAAAGAAAAAAACAAAATTTGTATAGATAATAAATATGGGAATACAACAACCGTAAGATGCCACATCCTAGCAGAATGACAAAAATTAAGGAGATCATTAATATCAAGAGTTGACAAGTGCATTAGATGACTTTCTGGGGAGTCCTTTAACAGTATCTACTAAAATAAAAATACAATAAAAAACTACTATTATTGGACCAAACGGTACTTTTTTGTGTGTGTGGTGAGACAGAGTCTGTTGCCCAGGCTAGAGTGCAGGTGCAATCTTGGCTCACTGCAACCTCTGCCTCCTTGGTTCAAGTGATTCTTGTGCCTCAGCCACCTAAGTAGTTGGGATAACAGGTGTTCACCCCCATGCCCAGCTAATTTTTGTAGTTTTAGTAGCAATGGGGTTTCACCAGTTTGGCCTGGCTGGTCTTATACTCCTGGCGTCATGTGATCCACCTGCCTCAGCCTCCTGAAGTACTAATATTATAGGCGTGAGCCACCATACCTAGCCCTCAAAATGTATTTCTAAGCCCACACAGAAATTCTTATTTATAGAAGTTTTGACTACATACTATACAAAGTTTCACTCTATTTCTAGAAGAAAAGGTTATAAAAAGCAAGCAATGTCAGCCTCCAATGAAATGAATAGCAAACTTCTAAGATACATTACTGGGATGTATACAGTATTTTCATTTAAGACAAGTCTTTTCTCCCAGCTATCAGTATGAAAAAATTAACAATTTCCCTTTAGCAGTTTTATAAAATATAAACTTTATAAACATAATACATACAATCAAGTCACTTAGAATAAAGAGTACCTGATGGTTGCTTTCAACAAGCAAACCTAAAATTAAAAAATGCAGAAAAACTCTTGTTCTGTTTATCAATAAAATGGTATTGACAAAACCATTTTCAAAAAATATATAATTCTTTATTCTATTTTCTTTCTGATCTTTAGAAAGCACAGAACTTAGAGTGTATGACACATTTCTGCAAAAGCAACAGCAGTGATTACTTGTATTTTGTTTCCATGTACTATTTATATCAGTACACTTATAACTTAGATTTCAGTGTTCTTTAAATACGCAAATTTAACTTATCAATAAAAAGAATAACTGCTAAATGAGTAATTCACTAATGCCATACATATTTAATTTATGACCTCAAGGAAATTAAGATCCATTGAGAATTATCATTTAAAGTATCAGCTGATAGCAGGTATGTAATTCTAGATAGTGATTCACACATATATATGTGGAATATAAATATATCAGCTCTTATTCTTAAGATAGTAAGACTAAGTCCAAATAAGCAAATTTTATTACTAGCAAAATTAGTCTTAATGAATACAAAATATATATACCTTTCTTGTGACACATAATTTTCAGAGCCACTGAATATGAATAGACAAGTTGTACAAAACAAAACTCTACATTGTGCCATTCACACTATGTGAATGGTGCCTCTCCATTACAGCTGTACAGTATACAACCTACACAACTTTACATGGCAGCCCTGATAACTTGGTGCTTATTTAAAAAATTCCAAATAAGCAGATATGACATAGGTATTTGTCAAATTCTCATGTCTTTTTTACTGAGCTAACTACCACCAGTCCCCCGAACCTTGCCAGGGAACTATCATTCATGCCCCAATAACATGAGGCCGGACCATATGACTTACTTTAGCAAATAAAATGTGACTGGAAGTTACTGTTTAACTTTTGAACAGAAGCTTCAAGAGCCACTGAATGATCCTGCTATCTCTCTCTTCTCTTTCCCATGAGAGCAGTATGTCCCAGATTGAGAATGTTCCTTCAGTCTACTCTCAGAATAACAAGATCACTGTTGCTGACCCATGATACAGATGATGAGGAAATAAACTTTGTTGTTGTAAGTGACTTCGATTTAGAAATCATTTGTTACTACAGCATACCATAGTATAAGCGAACTACAACAGGCCATTAAAAAAATTTGAAGTCAAGTATTAAGATAAAACTTACACTTTAAGTAAAGGTATTATAAACAAAGGTATTATGTGCTCATTGTAGAATATCTGAAAAAAATTAAAATCATCAACAATCTTACCACTCAAAGACAATGACTGGTACTATTTTCTCTAAGAATATTTTCTTATAATACACATTTTTTTCCAGTGTTTTTCCTATGGACATATATGTATAGCTGACATTGTGCTTCACATGACCTTTTATATTGTGCCTTTTATAATTATCATGAGTATTTTCCCATGACATTGTTTCAAAATAATTTTAATGATGAAAAAATAATTATATTGATGCAATGGAATTCACCGTTTTCCTGATGTTTAGTATTTAGAGTTTCCAATTTTAGAATGTTCATAAATGACAGGGATAAACAATACATACTTTTACATAAAATCTTACATATATGTAGATTTTTGGGGGTGTATCAGTTTCCTTGATGGACACAGTTTTTGAGATGCTTTTGACAAATTCAAGTGGATGTCAGTTAGCTCAGACAAAGGGTCTAAACAGAAACTGTTAAAAATTTCAAATGTGAATGAAAATTTATTATTTTTGTCCAAAATAGCTAAAATTAGCAACATAATGATACTAAAATTTTAAATTGCACTCTTTTTTATTTTTTTTAAAGAGAGTCTTGCTATGCTGCCCAGACTGGCCTTGAACTCCTGGCCTCAAGTTATCCTCCTGTCTCAGCCTTCCAAGTAGATGGCACTACAGGCACACCCCATTGCATTGGCTTTAAATTGCATATTTTAATTCTGCAAGCATAGTAAGGCAGAAAAAAGTAAACGCAGTGTGTGTATGCATTGTTGTAACAGATTATTTTAGAAGATTTTGGCACATAGAAGAAAACTATCTTAAATCAGTAAATTGTTGAAGTTACATTACCAGGAGATTATAATCAATCAGTTCAACTTTTCCTGCTGTTAGTTTTCTTATGACTTAATGACTAATTTCTTCTTTAAAGAATGACTTTGAACAAATGGTAAGTAAAACCTTTTCCATAACAGCATGTAAACAAAGTCTGTGATTTAATAACGAGGTCAAATTCCTAGAATATATGTCTGCCAGTT